ATATTAACTTCTTCAAAATGAGGTTTAAAAAAAGTGTACCATTTATGTGCCGAATAAATTATACGCCGCTTTATAGCTGAAGATAAAAGTTATATAATTTTGATTAGCCGAATTATATATTTTTTTAACGAATGATTGACGAGTGGCATTATGCTGAATAAATCCATTTCGATTAGTGTAAATATTAATTTATTGAATTCTGTATTATTGTTTTTTTACAAATTAATAAACACAGTAGTATGTAGTTAATTAGAGAATAAAAATAATAATATGGTACATATAATTTTAAAATTTGATAAAAACGATAAATACTTGTTAATTAATTTATCATTATTCTATATATTTTTAATATATAATATTTTTAATTTTTCTTTTTTAGAATTTTCTTTTGCAAACTATTTTTGATTAATGATTCTAGTTATACATGTGATGGAATTAAATTTAAACATTTTTCAAAACTATATTACTATTAAAAATAAATATATTAAATTAATGGAAATCACATTACCATATATGGTAAGGATCAACAATACAACTACATGTATAATTCTAGCCATGAACCCTGCTTTTTTATCCAAGAGCATAATATTCTCTTTTCTAAGTTCAGGAAGCTCGGTGTTCTCCTTCTAAGCTTAAAATCTCGGCTAGGTGCTTCGTAGTTAATTCTTTCAACGAATCTATTTTGGATTGTATGCCTGCCATTTTTATACAAGACGTAGGTAAGTATGTTTAAAAGTCCATGTAAGAAACTTTATACTAAGAAATTTCCGGAAAATCAGAAATCGAAAATTCTTGATTGCATTAAATCGAGCGTGATGTAGCCCGTAATAGGCCGTGAATGAGCATTGACTCATGTAATAAAGCTATCTACACCATAACTGAACTGTAATAAAATTTAATCGGAGTTCCTTTTCTTCATATATTATGTACACAAAGACCATGACATATAACCAACTTTTATTTTTTGTAGAAAGCGCACTTCATGCATTAGTGGAGCTAGTAAGTCTATTTTGATAAATCACGGTCCGCATTCGCGTACAGTTAAAAAATCAGCTCTCATATCGAAAAAGACAAAAACTTTAGTTCTTATTAGCCTGCAACGAGAAAAATATATATTTATAAACATCCTGTGATCGTTCTCTCGATCGCATTATAATTCATATAGATTATCAGTTTATTGGCCGAAATGCTAAGCATGGAAAAAAAGTCTAACCAAAGAGTCAGATTCAGAATTTTTAGATGGTTTTTTTTTTTGTTGCACTTACTACAATGTTAAAAAAAGATAAGCCTATATTGTTATTAAAATAGAATATAGGATATTACTGCAAATAATTTCCCCAAAAACCGTGCTCTATTCTAATATTTATAATGTAATAAAACTATCCTTGAACAGCTCTTTTATCTTTTACGAACTTATACTTTTTTGCCTTTAGAACATGTACCGTTATCCGTTTCTTCGGTGATGAATGAACGTCAGGTATTGTGTTAGAAACTGACCATTTTAATTTTACCTGTTGTTTCCACCTTGTAACATTACTATTATTGTCCACAGGATCGTTTACAACTTTCATTGTTTGAAGGACTAGGTGCTAGAGAAAAAATTAAGTAACCTTTCGGGGGAAGTTTAAGACTTATACAAAACGAGATATTTACCTTGGCATATATTATCTCGATTAACACATCTAAAGATTTACTAAAGTTCTTTACGTCCGAGTAGACTTCGAGTGGATTTCCTCTCGTGTATCGGCAGACGTATCCAGCTGGGTAATCTAGATTTACCCTAATCAACACTGCACCTTTAAAAAAATACTGGTCATTAAAATTTAGGATAGTTGCATTGAAGAAATCCAAGAAATACTAACCTGCATGAACGAAACCGATCACATTCAACTTCCTCAACTTTTCTTCTGCAAACTTGACCTTATCGGCAAGATGGATAAAACCATCTTCTAAGGTTCTTGGCAAGCTCAGCCCAGATTCCTTCATTAGTTTAATACTGTGCATACCCTGCCACTTCGGACCTGCTTCTGACGCCACCCTATCGGTTGATGTCGATCCAATTTTCCTGACATACGCATCTCCCTTTTTTCCAATTGCTTTTCGTTGGATTGGTCCAATATTCGGCAAACTCCTGTACCGGTTTTTTCTTTCAGAACTGGTCAATCCGACCTTCTCACCTCTATATTTCGGATTAAAAAAAAGTCAATTATAAGCAATAGTCAGAAATATCTGTATTTTTTACCTACCCTATAACATAAATATATGGAATATCCGAAAACGCAATATCGACTGTTCTCCAAATATTTATGCGATACCAAGCTTCTGGCATATCTAGAGTAAGTGGATTAGGCTGCATCTCAAGAAGTCGTAACCTGCACAATATTAATTCGTTAATTGTGTTCAGCGCTTTTCACGACAAGCAAGAAGGAAAGAAAGATATTACTGGAAAGACTTCCGATTCCTGAGAAATCTCCTATAGCACGAATATAGCATTGCAGATCAGATCAATCAAACCTTATATCTGATAAGATATATGCTTTCTCAAAAAAAGCTACATTCTACTTTTTAGAATGGTTATTTCGCATTTTTTCACTAGCTGAAGCAAATATCTCCTCTTCCTTCTGAACATACACTATAGTCTATTGTAGATAAACTATGCGTATAAGTTTACCATTAAGATATTAATTATCATCAATGCCCTTAACATCAACCAACCTTATAAATCGACTTTCCATATTTTCCGTTGTATGCCTGTTCGTATGGTATTCGAAGGTCTTCCATAGGCGCCTTAGTTTCGGGATGCTGATTTACAGAGAATTCTGTAAGTAACGCAATCAAAGTGACAAATAAACGTCTTGTTATTACAATTACCTCCTTAGCTTTAAGGATTTTTTCAGCGACAATACGTTTGTCTATGGTTTAATTACCCAATTTGACGAGTCGTAAAAATTAGTCAAACACGTCTCCCATAACGGAAATCCACTCTCATTTTTAATGATCCAGTTAACATAATGTTTTAAACTCCAGAAACCAGCTTCAACTGAAGTAAAGTAAAGATGCGCCATGTTCAAATTAATGTCAATATACGCGAATTTTTTATTTTTATATTATATGGTTTCACAAAAACGTGATCAACAAAAACTTAATCTTGGACGCGTCTATATGTATACTTTCTGATTTTCGTGCAAGTCTTCAGCATGAATTTTGCTCAGATCTACTCTCTTTTTTTATGGAAATGACAGTTTGTCATGCACAGACCCACTTGGCGGTGGCAAACTGGGACGTGGACTTTGCTCAAATCTACTCATGCACAGACCCACTAGGCGGTGAGTGATTTGTCATCAAGGGAATCCTTTTTTTTTGATTGCCTGATGAAAAGGCCAGTTTGTCATGTACAGACCCAATCGGCGGTGGCAAACTGAGTTCACTTCCTCCAAACGTTCCATGTGCGACCCAATCGGCGGTGGACGTTTGGCTTTCCAGCAAAACTCGAGTAAAAAGAAAATCAATATCAGATACGTTGGACATCTTTTTATTTTGATTTTGAAATGCTTAAATTAATTTGATACATTATTTTGTTTTGCGTTCGACAAAGTACAGAGAATATGACATGCTTTGCTATTGATCCAAGAATCCAAGTTACTACTTAAAGTGAATCCTTTTTTTTTGATTGCCTGATGAAAAGGCCAGTTTGTCATGTACTGACCCAATTGGCGGTGGCAAACTGAGTTCACTTCCTCCAAACGTTCCATGTGCGACAAATTGGCGGTGGACGTTTGGCTTTCCAGCAAAATTCGAGTAAAAAAAAAATCAATATCAGATACGTTGGATATCTTTTTATTTGCGTTCGACAAATTACAGAGAATATGACATGCTTTGCTATCGATCTTTTTTATGGAAATGACAGTTTGTCATGCACAGACCCACTTGGCGGTGGCAAACTGGGACGTGAACTTTGCTCAAATCTACTCATGCACAGTCCCACTTGGCGGTGAGTGATTTGTCATCAAGGGAATCCTTTTTTTTTATTGCCTGATGAAAAGGCCAGTTTGTCATGCACTGACCCAATCGGCGGTGGCAAACTGAGTTCACTTCCTCCAAACGTTTCACGTGCGACCAATTGGCGGTGGACGTTTGGCTTTCCAGCAAAACTCGAGTAAAAAGAAAATCAATATCAGATACGTTGGACATCTTTTTATTTGATTTTGAAATGCTTAAATTAATTTGATACATTATTTTGTTTTACGTTCGACAAATTACAGAGAATATGACATGCTTTGCTATTGATCCAAGAATCCAAGTTACTACTCAAGTGAATCCTTTTTTTTGATTGCCTGATGAAAAGGTCAGTTTGTCATGTACTGACCAATTGGCGGTGGACGTTTAGCTTTCCAGCAAAACTCGAGTAAAAAAAAATCAATATCAGATACGTTGGACATCTTTTTATTTGATTTTGAAATGCTTAAATTAATTTGATACATTATTTTGT